GGTGTCTCCGGATGACTTCACAGGAGAATGCGCGTGGATCAGGCAAGTCGCCGAGGAGCAGAGTGTTCGCTTACCAATCGCCACCGTTGTCATTGAAGGCCCGTTCGGTAAGCTTTGCACCGAAGCGGCTGTGTCTGCCGCGCTGAATGGTCGTTTTTCTTATCTTTTCTCCAACAACTCGGAGCAGCTTCTCAAAGAGCAGGGCAAATCGTTCTTCCCCAACTTAGCGTGCATGGCTCCCACGCGATCGCAAGCGCGAAAGCTTTCGCGGAAGCTGGACTTGGTTCCATGCGGTGAACTCTCAAGTGACCTTGTCGGCGGGTCGACGGAACCCCAGAAAGGAAATTTTCCGCATGAGTCATGTGAGCAGTCACGCGAGCGGCCCGTCGCGGGAGCGGCCGGCGCGGTATGCGCTGGGGGAGACGACGTGGCGCCATTGAGTCAGAGCGAGAGGGTTGCAACGCTCTCGCCTGTTGCGGAAAGTTGGAGCGAGCTGCCGAGAGTTGATCGAGAGACGCTCATTCGAGGGCAGAGTGAGGATCTCTCGATTGAAGCGCTAGTGGAAAGCCAAATTGAAGCGCTCGTGGAAAGCCAGAAAAACGCGGCAAAAGTGCTGTCGAAGGAGCACTACGAGAAATCGGGGAAGAAGCGCGCTTTTGAAGTTGATAATCAGGTAATGCGGCTGCAGCCACCCAAAAGGAACAAGCTTGAGGTGGATTGGGAAGGGCCCGCCACAGTATTATCGAAGCCTTGCGATTCAAATTATGAAGTGAAATTAGGAAGGCGGCCGGACAAAATTTACAACTTGAAAGCAGTCGTAAATCAGCAGTTGAATGCTTCAGAGGAAGAGGAAGCAGAAATATTTAGTTCTAGTGAGATAATCGAAAGGAAATCGGAAGTAATCTGGGAACAGTTGAACCTAGAGCCTAGCTTAAGTGAAGGAGGACCTGAGAAAGAGGACCTGAGAAAGATTGGTTCCGAGTTTGAAGACGTGTTTTCGGACCGCCCCGGAAACACGACGGTGATCGAACACGATATCGAGCTAAGCGGTGAGGAGTCAATCAGTAGCAAGCCGTATCGTTGTTCCCCTGTGGAACGTCGCAAGTGTGAGCCGCTCTTGGTGCCGCATAGGTATCGTCGCCTAAAAGTGGCCGGTTACTGAGGTGGAGCATGTTGCTCCACAGCGCAACTTTGACGTTCGCTATCAAAAAAAAAAAAATAAAGGAAAGGTAAACGCTAATGCAGGTGCATTGAGCAGTGCGTTCCAGCTAGTAACTTCTCAACCTTTCGGTTTCTGGCTGGCGATTCGGGGCAAAATTTTGACCTCATCACGACCTGGGCTGAGCGCTCTCGTTCAGAGTGATCTCAAGGGGCCAACTTTATGTGGTATTCTAATCCGTTACGTTGTTGTACGTGGGAAAAAAAAATTGAGTTGTCATTTTAAGGGTCTTTTGTCCCACATGTGCCTCTTGATGTAGAGGGAACAAAATTCCGACAAACACGTAGTTAGGTATATGTTGTACTATACTTTGTCTGGTGTTCTGTCGGGTGACCGAGGGCACTTGCTTGTGTCGTGTGTTGTCTGTTGTCGATCCGTTCTTGGCAAGTTGCAGAACCATCGACAAGTGCTGAAACCGAAGATGGTCAGAAGAGACGAGTGAAGCTGGTCAGCAAGTTGTGGCGACAAGCCGGTGGAGCTGGGATCCGTCGTCAAAAATGGGATGTGTTCCCGGAACAGTTTGGAGCTGTATTCTCCCCATGGCCCTGGAGGCGAACCTGGAGGGACCTGGCGAACGAGCGCACCTGACATCCGAGCCCCGTGGAAGCAGCTCGTCTTTCCGGTGCATTGTCTGGCGGCGGGGGTGCTGTTATGCTAGCGAGTCCCCGTCAAACGTCCGTGCCTCGGAAAAAGGCGATCTGGGTCAAGGCCAGCCCGCCGTCTGCCTGACGCGAACATCTCAACGGCGTGAACACGCGCGGCGCCTCTCTCGCCCACGTGCATTGAGTCAGCGGCGCACGTGACAGCGAGCCGGCGTTCTCGTGTCGGGTGGTCTGACGCATGGCGCGGCAACCCCATTGGAAGAATCTGCGCTGACGACCAGCGGCGCTTCTGATTGGACATTTTGGTTGGACCCGGTGTAAATAAAAGAAGCCCTGCGGCGCGTCGCGATCGGCAGTCCTAGAGAGAGGAGTCCCCATGTCGGAGGGCCGACATGTGTGTGAGTCAGCGGACTTAGGCGAAGGGCTGACCTATGTGTTAGAGAAGAGAGCTCGGCTCTTCGAGTCTCTGTCGGCCCCAGTGCCGAAATTGTAACGCCTCTGTAAATATGCTGTACATAAACCTTGTTTAACTCACCGTCGTCTCGTCCGCTCGTCTTATCAGCTCTGCGCAGAAGCAGTCGCGAGCTGATAAACATACGCTACCAAACGGCTGGTGACCTTCCCGGCGGAGTTGGAAGCAGTGGCGCCTCCGGGACCGTGTTGGCGTCGCCGTCTTTCGCAACAGTGGTGGCTTCGGCGGGATCGGTCCGTCGTTTCTCAACACTCCCGACAGCGATCAGCAACATGCATTTCGTTGCGTCGTCATTGCATGTGTCGGCATATTTTTAAACTCTGGCTAAAGATATATCTGGGGCACCGTGTATAATAAAGGACGTTCATTTGCACAATTTTGCGGCGTCGAGGAACGCTATAACAGTAAGTGGTAGGGTCACAGCAATAAATCGTGATATTAATTACATTATTACGGGAGTCGGTTAATTACCCAGGCTTATCGATCGTTAATCAACCGCATCTCTTTACCATTATAGTTAGCTTTAGCGAACAGTAACTTGCCAAGGGGTTCCTTAGGAAGGCATTTACTCACCCTGCTTGCTTGACTGAGGCAGGAAACTGCCCACGTCTTCAGAAATTCATAGCTGCATCTATACACTGTGCAATATTTCACAACAGCAGCCGGTTTTGGTGGTAATGTCGTCCGCCTGTGTCTGCCTTTTTCACCAGAACGTGGAAACTGGCACATCGATTCTACCACTTTGGATGAAACACCCAGCGCGGCCGCGGTATGGAACAGAGTAATATGCGACACAGGCAAAAATACACTGCAACATGTTCATTGTATCAACGCACACTCCAAGAAAAAAAATCCCAGCATATCCACGGAGTGAATGATGATGAGTGAGGCGAAGCGTCCGTCCGTCCGTACTTCTGTGCGTCCGTCTGTCCGTCCGTTCGTTCTTGCTTCCATCCATTCGTCTCTCCGCCCGTGCGTCCGTCCGTATGTATGTCCGTACGTCCGTCCACATGTCTGTCTGTCTGTCTGTCTGTCTGTCTGTCGCTCTCACTAGCGCCAGCGGCTGAGTGGGTCATACAACAAGGTGATTACGAACCACTCACCAAGAGACATGCATGGACAAGCCCACGGCTTTAGGAGCTTCGCCCCTAAGAAGTTATTTGACTCTTTCTCGGGGGGGGGGGGGGGGGGGGGGGGTTTTTGACTTGCTACGTGTATGACTCTTTTTGAAGAAATAGACTCAAAGAAAAGATGGGGTATTCGTAGAGTATTTTTGCCACACAACTATAATCCCCATCTGGCTTGCTCGTGTTTCCTTTTTTTTTAAACTCTGCTCTCACCACTTACCTATACTAGGAATGCGATAGATATGTTAGCGATAGCGCATGTCGTTTGTTACCGGGAAGTGCCGCGACCGCGATCTCTAAACGCAAGGAAACGACGCGAGGTAGGCGATGGTTTTGGTACACTCTTTTTTAGAGTGTACGTGAACTCCCTTTGGAGATCGAATATGCTCTCGTTCGAGAGCCGCGGAACCCAATTGAGTGAGGGTCCTCAAAAAGTGGCAAGTCAGGAAACAAAATGGCAGCATATCCACGGAGTGAATGATGGGGAGTGGGGCGAAGCATTCGTCCGTCCATTTGTTCTTGCTTCCGTCCGTTCCTGCGTACGTCTGTTTAACCGTCCATGCGTCCATCCACCCGTGCGTGCGTCTGTTCGTGCGTCCGTCCCTGCGTTCGTCCATGCATCCGCGCCTGCGTCTGTTCATGCGTCCATCCATGCATCTGTCTGTGTGTCTGTTCGTCCATCTATTCAGCACTCCAAGTACCACCATCTCGCATCTTTTCATCGTATATTCTCCGTATAGAAGCACCGCCATCCAGCGGACATTTCAAGGACCAAACGGGAGGTGGCACATGCACACTTTCTTACGGCTTGCGCTTCGGGTTTACTTCCCACCTTTAACCACCTCGAGTTCATGGTATATACTAGTTCACTGTATTCATGGCTATGCGGCCCAACGCTCGCTAAACCTTTCTAAAACCAAGGAGGTTACACCCAGCGAGTATAACGTAGCAACCCTTTCTTGTCAGATCGTGCTCAATGTACATGCCAATAGCTGCTAATGGGGATCGCAGCGTGCGCGTTACCTAAAGGCCGAATGCTCCTGTCTGTCATTCCCCCTTAGCAGCCATTAACATGTGCATTGAGCACTATCTTTTATTGTTCAACAACGCACAGAAGAAATCTCTCACCGGAACCACTTTGGAAGTCAAAATCGTAAGGACCGCTATTTCGGGTATGTGCCACTGGTGGTTACGTACTACGAGAGATGCACAAGCCACGCCATAAGGAGCTTCGCCCCTAAAACGAGCTTACTATTTCTTCCACTAAGCGTATGTTGCAAGCTCCATATTTTAGTACAGACGTTTCTTTTCCTTTTTTGAGATTCAGCTACGTGTACACCATTTCATTCCTACGCACACACAGGTGCACATGATGCGTGCAGACAGGCAGATTTGGTTAGACTTGGCAGATTTAGTTCCACCCGCGTTTTGCGAATTTTTATTTCGAATTGTCGTTCTGGGAGGTCTTCTCCTTGACTAGCGTCAACGACAGCCCACGTAAATACACAGCTGCACGGCTACGATTTAGACACGTCTTCCGCGTGACCTCTGCAATCAGAGTCGTGACTTGGAACGTCAAGTCACTTGCTCGATTTCCCGGCGGCCGTCGCCACCTTGACCCTCTCGCGCAGCTGCGCGAGCCGTTCGAGAAGCGCGTCGAACTGGTACATGGGGACATCCAGTTCCTGGGAGTCGTTCATGCGTGTACCGCTCAAGTGAAGTTGCTTCTTGGCCGCCCTCTCGTACTCGCCGTAGAACTGCGGGAAGTGCTTCAATACCACCTCCCTCAGGGGAGACGGGTACGCCGACGCTCCTGTCAGACACTCTTCGACCGTGTTGCACACCGCCACTCTGATGGTCTCGTGCTGAAGGACGGCATTGTAGCATAGCTTGTCGCTCTGACAACTGCCCAACGTCGGGAGGACCCTCAGAGTGGACCCCTGGGCCACGGGGTTTTCCGTGCTCAGCAGCGCCTTGATGGATAACAGCACGCTTCCCAGGCACTGACCAGAACTCCACGTGGGCCCCGCCGAAGTGCCCAGGAGGCCCAGGCACACCTTGCCGTTCTCGTGGAAGCTCGGCCCAAACCTCACGCGCCCGGCGTCCGTGGTCATAAGGCGCACGCGCGGAGGACTGTTGGGGAAGTCGGGCGGACATTTCATCACGAAGTGGAAGAAGCCGCCTTCGTAGGGCGTGCCGGGAGCTCCCAGGATCAGGGCGTGGATCTTGGCGATGTTGGTCTCCTCGGGGGAGACGAACACTCCAGGAACGCGGAAGAACTGGAGCTCTCTGATGTCGCAGCCGACCCTGCGCAGGCACTCGTCGCTCACCTCTTCGTGCTCGAACGAGATGGGGTCCCAGAAGTTCGCGGAAGTAGGCGGAGAAAGCTAATGGCTGGACGTGGCGCCTTGCGTTTTCGCGCCATTGGCTTGAGCTCGAGGGTCGGCCATTATTGCGTTGAATTTTTTTTTGTGCCGCGGGCCGAGAACCGCACACGTACGTGGCTGCTTTTACAGGGTTAAACAGGGTTAATAATGATGATGGTGGCCCTCAAACGTGTGCCACGTACCCACAGCGCAGAGGAAGGACAAACTCGGATGATTGAAAGAAACGAAATAGAAATATCTACAAAAGCAGGCTCGTGCAATAAATATTTGTTTATTTGCAGGCACTTGGCATATATTGGGAAACTTTATTAAATAAATGCAGGGGCCGAAGTTGCAACCAACTATGAGCGAGAAATCATACAAGTTGGATTAGGAAGCAAGAAATGTTCGCAAAGGAAGAATAATATGCGATACTTTGTTAGCAGAGATAAAATATCAATAAATAAAAAATTGTATACATGCTTCAGTGGATTCCTTAAAGGCCACTAAACATTTCGGATCAACATATGCAGCAGCTCAAGATAAATCGGGGGAAAATTGAGGCACGAATGATCGCATTGACGTTGACTTCTTCTTGCGATTGCAGCTTTTGAAGTACGCAGTCAACATACTTAATCTTTGTGCGGCTCGTCGCCGGAAAGTATGTATATATGGTGCTGCATTTAGCGTATTACATGAAGGCTGTCTTTGAAAAGTCATAGACGCCTGGTGTTGTACGTTCTGGGTGAGACGTGGTAGAGTAGTCAGATTAAGACGAACCCTACATTTATCACATTGATGGTGCCCAGGTGAGGGTACAGGGTGAACTCACATTCATGAGTATGGGCGAGCGTTGGTTGCGCGGGGAAAGCCCCCCTGCTACCGCCTACCGCCCCCTTAATCATTTCAAGGGGCGTCAAGTCGAGCCCACGCCATGTGGTTTTTTCTCGATCCTGAAAGCAAGTAGAGAATTATGTTTCCGGATATGTATATGCCAGTTTTTTCCCTCCGAAAACTTCGGCTAATCATCGACGGAGATACTTTAAAGCACTGGCTTGTGATAGCTACTCAAAGATGATGACGACGCTGGTCTTCAATATAACAGAGCGTGCACTGCTTGCTTTACGGTCAATACCCAATTGTAGGCCATGTAAAATTCTGTAGTCATCATCATCGTCATCTCCTGGTTTTCTGGAGGATTTGAATGGCTTTAATGGAAAAGCTTTGCGAAGTAATCTGTCGTGCATTTGACAGCGACCAGATAGCGACGGCTTCGCATCTTCAATATACAACGCACCATGCACTGTCCGTGTTCCGGCCAATCAACTATCGCGCGTAAACTGCGCGGCTGTAATCGTCGTCGCCATCCTTTGATGTCGTTGGGGTGGCAATCAGTGGTTGCGGTGGGTCAGTTTTCAGAATCGACGAAGGGTTAGTCATCGCAGCTTCGCCAAAGAAGTGTTTAGCCTACGGTTATCACTGCAGCATTCGAAACTGGCGGAATACGCCTGAGCTTCCCAAATTCTGGTGCTGAAATTGTTGGCTCCGATTGCTGCAATTCGAACTTCCTTGTTTACAGCTACACTATTAATTACAGGCCGCCAGGTGCACGGTTATACCTCACGCACCACTCGATTTTACAGTCGCAGCTCTGCCGTCGGTGGTATCCGCTTCGGTCTTGGGACTTGCACGATGCCCATATCAGAGACAGTTCCTCCAGCGCACTGCAGCAACTCCCGAGCAGCGTGAGATTCAGAAGCGGTCGTCATGGAAGTAACTTGGCTAATTGAAGCAATAACAGCTGCTTGATGTCAGTGAATCGTAGCTTGACAATCCCCCCTCGAAAAAACAAAACATGAAGATTTGTGACAGCATCGTCATCGATGAGAAAGGCCGCGGCAGTCAGGCGGAGAGTGCAAGACTCAACGTAACGAGTTGTGCCCGTGCCGAGGGCTTTCGAGCATTCAGGTCCTCCGGCGCACCATGGTGACAAGACTGTCAGCCGGGGCCTTCAGTTCAGCGAAATATAATAAAGCGAAAGGCTTAGATGCCTCATAAATCGTGAAAATTTACAGTCGGCGTCGACGGTGTGAAGACTAGTGGTATCATCATCGCGCGATGGCATCGCCGTATGACATATGCCGAATTCTGTGACGTCAACAACGACATCTTCGCTTCCTCCAAGTTTGGTCGATTGCGGAGGCAGAGAAAAACCGGATGAGATGAAAAAAAACAACGCTTCCGATGCTGAAGGCACTGCAAGACCACGTCAAGTCGAAAAAGCTTTCATAGGCTGGCGGTGGACGATCAATACATCGACTGAGACGAAAAAAATCACAGCATATCCACGGAGTGAATGATGATTGGTGGGGCGCAGCGTTCGTCAGTCTGTCTGTCCATTCGTTCTTGCGTCCGCCTATCTGTGTGATCCTTGGTGCATCCGTACGTTTGTTCATTCGTCTGTCTGTTCGTCCATCTCTTTTTGCGGCCATCTCTCTGTCTGTCCATCCGTCTGTGCGCCCCTCTGTCTGTCCGTCCGTGCGTGTGTCAGTCCGTTCGTCCGTCCATATGTCTAGAGAAAAACTCCAAGCACAGCCATCTTGCATCTTTTCATCATGTATTCATCGTATACAAGTGCCCCCATCCAGCAGACATTGTAAGGACCGCTATTTCGGGTGTCACTGGTGGTTACGTACTACGAGGGACGCACAAGCCACGCCATAAGGAGCTTCGCCCCTAAAAAAGGAGATGGTCTTAGGCTTCGGCGAGTGCATTAGGGAGCCTATAAGTTTGTTCTTGTTACTCGGCGTCCCTGGGGTGCACTGTCGTGGCGGACAACTGCAGCGCTTCCGACAATCAGCTCGGCTCCACAAATACGACATGTATACGGTGATCGAACAGATCGTACACATGAGCGCGACGTGGCTGCACTTTCACTGTGGTGCGGGAAAGGACACGGAGTTTCCTTCATGAAGTATTAGCCATCAAGTTTTACAAAAGTCCAAGCTATTGTGATGCCTCGCATCCACAATGATAATTTCCTAATCGTAAGATAATTCACCTAGCCGAAGTAGTATATAGTTGAGTAAAATCAGATATTCTATCAAGATGTCTGAGTGCTCAGGGTGGTGGTCTCAATAGCGTTTCATTGAGATCGGTCGGATTATTTGGAGCCACACACTGAGCTGCCCAAAGTTGTTTTCTCTGTATATTCGAAATACTGAGCAGTATGTGAACGTGAAACTGCAAGGAAACTACCAATGCCCCTTCCTGAAAAATCCAAGAATACGTAGGCAGGATAACGACTGGTAATTAAGGATAACTGACTGGCTTCCTAGGGAAGGCAAACGCACAATGGGGAGACAGAAAGTTAGGTCAGCCGATGAGATTAAAAAGGCCACGGTTATAACGGGGCACCAGAAAGCACAAGACCAGGTTGATTGACGGTTCATGGGAGAGGCCTTTGTCCTGCAGTGCGCGTATATAGTAAAGCTGATGACGACGACGACGGCGGCGATGATGATGATGATGATGATGACGACGATGACGACGACGACGACGATGATCAGGATGATGATGATGATCATGATGATGATGATGATGATAAATAATCCCTGATCACACGTGTTAAAAACATGATATCATCATGAGGCTCACCGTAGTGGAATGCACCAAAAATTTGGAGTCATTAGTGCTATTTGAAGTACAACTCTATTGAGGGTGCGCAGAAAGAATGTACACACAGGTACCAGTTTGTTAAATGTCGAAACGATTTTTTGCACTGTATTCATCTGACGTGTGGTCATACGTATGCAGGGCAGACTGGCAGGTGTATTAAGAGGAGGCTAAGGAGACATTGTCGAGTATATTTAAGGTCCCTACTACACATTTAACACGGCTATGCAACGAGCGCGCATTCACGCCTTGTTTTACCAACACCACCGTGGAATATAGGCATCGCAACCAAACTTCCAAAGAGATAATGGAAGCGTACTACATTGACAAGCTGAAAGCAAAGTGTGTTATACTATAGACACCCATCAGTTGCCTTGCCTGAAAAAAAAAAAAAATTACTCTATAGTCTTCTATTCATTGAGCATGTGATCACAAGTCGTGTCATATATGCGCTGTCCATGCTTTTTTTTTTTGGGGGGGGGGGGGGGAATGATTGCGCAGATCTGAGGGTTTTAAACGAATGTTTTCAAAAAATAAAACTGTTGTTGGAATGCGCCCTTTGTTTTCTCAACCTTGTTCCCGTGTGCCTGCACAAATACTTCACGATGAATATGTTCCAAATAGGTTGAATCGCCGTTTTGCTTCACTGTACCATCGAAGCGGACAATCGAAGATTAATGAATCGCAGTTTTCCCAATGAGTCAGCGAGATTTGAATTTATTGCATGAGAGTCTCTCTGATGCATCCACCACTTCTACGTAGAACTATATCTCAGAACATTCTGCGAAGATACATAAGAGTCGATGCATTTATGTGTTCTTTATACATTTTCTGCGACATCTCGCACTATTACGAGGTCGGGCAGTTCTGACCAATTGACATTGAATTACCCGATTCTCTTAAGTTAGGAAGGTCAAGAAACGATCACTCACAAAAGCGTTGTCGTTCGTTGAACAGACGATGAAAGGTCTGCAGGGGAGGGGGGGTGGAGTACAAAATGATCGATTGGTCGTCGGGAAACGTCGAAAGACCATTCCCTTCTTCCATCAGCGTTGACTTATCGAAACGAGTAACGACGCGGCTCCATCGAAAGCCGCTTCCTGTACGACGCAAGTGCATTTGGCGCGCCGGTCAAATCGACCCGCCATTTCTGAGTACGATCCACAGCGGAAAGGACACGCGGACAGTGGAGTGACTTCGAAATAACGCATCGAAGCGTTCATTTGGCCACCAAGTTCGAGTGCACATTGGGAAAAAGCATATCGAAACGCACATCCGCATTCGTCTATCGTTGCGTTGCACGAAATTGGACTCCCTGAGTCGCATCAGTGATGCTTGATGCATCCTCCAGAAGCGATGTGGTATCCTTTTCGGAGCCGCACCGAGTGGCCGTCGCGTAGCGCTCCTGTGGGCACGAGGACCTGGGTTCGATTCCCTGACTCGACAGCTGCATATTCTTACGGGTACCTGTTTTTTTCTCATCGCGACCGTGTGTCACTTGCTGAAAGCAACTGCTCCTCGTTCGGTGCGGGCCAAGCCAGATTATATATGAAATTTGATAACAGCCTTGAAGTATTTGGAGACGATTGCGTGCGCGGCGCGAGTATAGCTTAGTTAAATGAGAAAGTGACGCTGTCGCCTGCGATAACACTGAAAACTTCGATTTGGCTTGTATAAAAGGCGACGTGCTTCGCTGATGACCGGATTACTCAGCGATCGGTGACTGTACTAGTTGCTACCATTGTATAGAGAGCTTAAGGTGCCGCATCATACGTGCAAACTGGCAGTTGGCGTCAACTCCAGTTACGAAAAAAAAATAATCACGGGACGATGTGATCATTTCGGGACGTCATGCGGATGACACTACATGACGTCACCCCTGGCGTCACCATGACGGCAGGAATCACAAAAAATGGTTACTTCACCGTAATGTCACTTTCTCGTCTCACAACTTGACGCCACGTGACGTCGTCATCAGTGACTCATCACACTAGAGCATCGCTTGGTCAACGGTGGAGCGGTCACTTAGGCTGTACAAAACCCGGTGAAGTGCGGAAAGCTTGCAATGCACGGAGGCAGCGCAAAACTAAGCTATGGGGGCAAGAAGCTCTCAGGGGGCTGGCGAGGATCAATAACTTGACTGATAAGAAAATGGTCGCTTTC